CTGGGATAAAAGAAGAGATGGAGTCTGCCCTTAAGGGCTGATTTCATATCCACTGAAATCACATGCAAAACTCCCAGGGAAGCAAGCCTAAACTTTTAAATACTGCTACAAAAGCAGCTACCACAGTTCTCTGTCATTCTAGTTAACCATCTATAAACAGTTACTCACTTGACCTCTATTTGATCTCTCCCTCTGCCCTCCAAGGAATCTTTCAGGGCCAACATACATTATGGATATGTCTGTGTACATGAATGTTGGAGGCTATTTTACTACTATGAGAACAGATCTCTTGCAATTCTATCTGAAATCTGGTTGTTTGGGGAAATTGTTTTTTCTTTCTACAGACAAATCCAGCAAATGACTTATCTTGGTTTATACTGGTCTGCTGAAAATACTTAATTGCTATAAGTCCTGTTTGCCACAGGACCTTTGTAAAGGATGATTTTGGAATCCTGCCATGGTAATAAGAAAGGAAAATAGTTGTAGCACTTGAAATGGGAAGGTCAAAGACAGGAGTCAAGAAAGATCTTCAAGCCACACTAGAGCTGTCCTTTTCTAGCTGCTGCTTGAATGTGCAGCAAGATGACAAAGTCTTCAAGCTTTCACCTGATTAATAGTCTTGGGGGAAAAACATTCTCTAGGAATGCTGCAAGAGTAAGACTGCTATTTAAAAAAAAGAATTCTCAAGCAAAACAAAAATGACAGTAAGATGGAAGTAAGTTAAGGTCATGTAGTAACTAGAGGAAGAATTTTATATGGATGCATTTAGTTTGGTTGGGTTGGGTTTTTTTCTTTTATTTTTTTTTTTAATATGATAAAGAATTTCAGAGTTAAGTTATGAAGTAGTATAGATACATAAAAATATTGAAGCACTTAAAGTCTCCAAGTATTCTTAACTGTGCACACTAAAGATAGAATGCAGTAGCTAATATAAATTTTAACATTTTAACATCTTTCATTTCCTTCCTGTCACAGTATCATACAATAAGGAAATAAGATGTATAAGCATGCTTTTAAAAATATAATCTTAAAAAAACCAAATCTGCATCTAGAGGTGATACTAAACTGCTGTAGTCATTATTGTGTGGGCTAGTAGATGCCCAAACAAAGAGATAAGGTTGATTTTGTATCTTTATTGTGCAATCCAACAACCTAATTAAATACTGATTTCTAAATGTAATTTCCCTTAACTCTAGAACCCAAGGTAATGTATTGTAATGTATTTTACTTGAAATTGTTGAGATGCACTGTTTACCTTAATTCCACTTAAATATAGATCCTATGGCCATCCAAAAAAATCAGTGCATTTAGTTACAGATAATAAGTCCAGGAAACTTTAAGGAGGATCTCAGTGAAATTGCATTAGTGAGAACAAGGTGAAAACAAGGTTACTGTTTTCCAACCTGAGGACATTCAATTTAATTCTTGACTCACACAAAATTTTCTTAGTTGTGCTGGCCAGAAATGGCTTGTTCTAGACATAATCTACGGGAGTTTAAAACAGCTTCAGATAATAATGATTTCATTGCTGTGTTATGCCATTCTAAAATTCTAAGTAACAGAAATGTTGCCATCTCCTCATTTAAGAGGAAATGTAATTTGATACAAACACACTAAAAATTTGGAATATTTTATTATTAAAAAAGGCTGTTTCAAGCTGTGTTGAAGTCAACAGTAGGTCTATTTAAGGTTTCTGAATTCATCCTTTCTTTGTTGGCATTCAGATAAAAGATTGAATTTACTGGCTATTAAGGAGTTCTGGCTGCAGCTGTTTGGGGGGAGAAGGGGGAGAGGGAGATATTCAGCCACCCAGATCATCAAGGGGTGTACGCTGGATTTTTTGAGCATTCAGATAAACACTGGTCAATTCTGTGGGAGTTAACATTAAGTTGAAACGAACTTTTCAAGGAATTTAATACTTGGCAAGTCATTTGATTTTCCTTTTAAATGTTTAATTCATTCAGATCTCCCTGAGTTCCTAGTTCTAGTTTGGGGCGGGGGTGAACCACGAGACCCCCATTGAGAGGGAGTTTTGATGTTTTGTTTTGTTACTTTATGCTGTTTAAACCTTAAGCTCGTAAGTTCTTGTATCGTAGGCAGCATTTTCTGCTTGACGAGGAGAAAAACCAAAAATCGTCGCTCATGAAAACCGCTCGGACTTCATTCAGAAGAGCTCGATTGTTGCCTGGAGACCTCTTCTTCACCCAGGAGGAGCGGGGTGACGGCGTGAAGCCCGAAGGCAGCGCCGGTGCGGGGCTGGGGCGGTGCGGGCTCCGTCCCTCGCTGTCCCCGCGTCCCGCTCTGCGGGCTCGACTGCGCCCCGACCCAGCAGCTCCGCTCTGCGCCCCGATCCAGCAGCTCCGCTCTGCGCCCCGACCCAGCAGCTCCGCTCTGCGCCCCGACCCAGCAGCTCCGCTCTGCGCCCCGACCCAGCACCTCCGCTCTGCTCCCCGACCCAGCACCTCCGCTCTGCTCCCCGACCCAGCACCTCCGCTCTGCTCCCCAACCCAGCAGCTCCGCTCTGCGCCCCAACCCGGCACCTCCGCTCTGCGCCCCGACCCGGCACCTCCGCTCTGCGCCCCGACCCGGCACCTCCGCTCCGCCCGGGGACAGCGCCGGGCTGTGCCTCAACCCGGCACCTCCGCTCCGCCCGGGGACAGCGCTGGGCTGCTCCTGTGCTGCTCCGGGACGGCGCTGCCGAAGCAGCCCCGCAGCCGCCTCGGTGTCCGCTCCCGGCCGGCGGGGAGCACAGCGGGCTGGGCACACGGGACACACGGCGGGGCGGCCTCTCCGGCAGGCTCCCGGGGACTTTACCCAGGACCCGGAGCCCCTTCCTGCCCCGCCGGGATCCCCTGCCGGGCTGGCTGGGGGAGTCGGGAGGCTGTGGAGGGATCGTGCCGGGTGCGGTGTCCTGGTCCTCGTGTCCCCCTCTCCTCGGGAGACTTCATCTCCCATGCAGAAGCGCCTGGGTCGGAGGGGGAGGACAGACGAGGTGCAGGGGGACCGAGGCGTCCTCCCGCCTTGTTGCTGGTTCACTCAGCTATCCCGAGGTGTCGAGGGAGCCCCTTCACCTGCGTGCTGTGACTCTTCGACTCAGCACGGAAGGTCTGTCCAGGCATTTCCTAGAACCCAACAAGTTTTCACCTTCAGTTACAACACGCCTGCATGTCTCGGGATGCCGAGGGCGAGACTGCTACAAAGATTTGGCTCTGATTTCATTCCACATTAAACCAGTCTCTTTGATTAGATCCTTGAGTTGTTTCTCTCTGTGGCAATAGCAACAGCAAAGACACGCTGTTGCTTTAAGTGTTATTACTCCAAGTAATTGTGACTCTCAGTGGTGTGGACGTAAGAGTGTCTCTGCTAAGTGCGGTGTGGATGTCCTCGTGTGCCAGTGGGAGCACTTGTGGGGACAGCAGCACTCCTAGCAGTGTTTGCAATTACGATGAGCTTCTCCCATCCCTGCAGAGTGTCACAACTGTCACGGCAGCAGCAGCCAGGCTCACAGCACTGGTCACAGTTATTGGTCCTTTCAGTGCATCAAGTTCGTGCACTACTGTGCTTCCTCACCTAAAAGAAAGGAGGGGGTCTGGGAGCAAAATGAGGCTAAACAAATTCAGTGCTCTTTGGTAAGAAGGCGCTAAGAAATATAAATAACTAGATTTAGGGAATGGATGTGTGTCTTTGTCAGGTAGGGATACTGTTCATCACCAAGCATCACTGCAAGCATTTCTCCTGCCCTTTAGAAACACACACTTTTCTCAGTGAAACTGCCACAGGTAGCAAGATGTGAGATTTGGACTCCTGTGTCCAACCTCGTGGTCTGTGGCTGAGAGAATCAGCAGTTACCCAGGGTACAAAACAGCCATGCTGGTGCTTTTGGTGGCATCACGACCCTGTCCTTTGAACACCTCCACACAAGGATTAGCTGTACCCCCTCGACCCTGCACTGGCCCAGCTGAAGATGCCTGTAATAAATGCAGACAAGAGGAGTCCAAATTCAGTCAAAGCTTCGATGTTTATTTTAAGTTTTTAATGGCAACAAACAGGTCCCTGTGGGTGTGGGCTGCAGACAGCAAGGACATGCTCAAGTCATTTACACTTGACAATACTGTAATAGCTTAGGGCAAGTGACACCCCTGGGCCTCTGAGCTCTTCAGGGCTACCAGGGCTTTCGGCAGAGGTGCCAGGGAGTCCAGTGGCATCTGCAATACAAAGGAAGTGGAATGTTGGCAGCAAGTGTACTACTGGGTTGATTTAATACAGGGTAGAGGTGGTGTTTAGGGCCAAACTCGAAGAGATAAAAAATGAAAGCCTCTCTCTCCTCTCTGTCTCCCACTCTGACTTTTCTCTCGTCAAATGACCGCATAAACTTCTGCGAAGATTCTTCGTACCAGGCGCTGTACGCGGTGCCCATGGCGCCAGTATCAATCTAAATTCGCTCCCACGAGAGTGAAGGGGAAGTTTTCTCCTCTCCCCGGTGTGAACGCTTAAGGGATGCGTGTGTGACCACTTGAGGGATGCGTGTGTGACCACTTGAGGGATGCGTCCCATACCCCTATCCCGGTTCCAGCAGCTCTGCTTCAGGAGCCGCCGTGCCGGGGTGGCCCAGTTTGGTGAGGAAACAACTTTCTTCCCCCTGGGGCTGGGGCTGGATGGGGTGGCGGTGACAGCGGTCACGGCCGCAGCCCCGAGCCGCCGGTGCCGCGGGGAGCGCGGAGCTGGGGGGACAGGGGCTGTGCCTGGGGAGAGGCTGACGGAGCGAAGCGAGAAGCCCTCGCTCTTTTGGTTTCTTTCCAAACATTTTTAGCAGAGGAAGGATGTAATAACATGCCACGGGCAATAAATCACAGTTAGCTACTCCCCCTGGCTCTCCTCCCCCCGCCCCCGGCCCCTCTATAGCGGGAGGGGCGGAGGGGCTGCCAGCAGAGCGCCGCGGCCGCCGGGACGAGCAGAGCAGAGCAGAGCAGCGCCTGCCCGCCTCCTCCAGCCGCCCCAGCATGGACCTCCGCGCCCTGGCGCTGCTCGCCTTCGCCCTGGCCGTCATCTCCCTCTCGGAGGGTAAGTGGGCTGCGGGGCCGCGCCGCTCCTGCCGGGAGCCCGGCCGGGAGCGCTGGTCCCGCGGAAACCCCCGCTCTTCCCCCTCTCCCCCTCTCCTCGCAGCTGCACCGCTCCCCCGGCTCGGGCTCCGGCCGCGGCTCAGATGTGTCTGGTGAGCCAAAGCGATGGCTGTGCAAAGCTGGAAGCAGGCGGGCTCCCATTCCTCCCTCTCCTCCATCCCTCCCTGGCTTTTTTCAAAAAGCTGGCCAAAGCGGTCCTCTGCCAAACTCGCCCCAGATTGAAGTCGTCTGGGGGAAGACTTTCAACAGCGCTCCGTCTGCAGGGAGGTGGTTTGGCTGCTAAATATGCATATCGACTTTCCCTCTAACAAAAAAACCCCAACCCTAAAAGTTACCAGGAATTAGAAACAGGCGGTTGTTCGGTACCTCTTCTGTCCGCTATCGTGGTCTATCTTCCCTCAATCAGGGCAGAGCTGAGCCGAAGTGGTCACTCGGCAGGAATTTACCGCACGGGGATGTTTTGGGGTGCAGGGAGCTGCCGTGACAGGGGGCCCGCGGGCTGGCGGCGTGGGGCGCGCAGCCACATCCGACCCGCAGCGCCGAGTCGCAGCCCGCCCGCCCCACGCCGGTCCCCGCGTGTCGCGCCCGCAGCCCGGTGGCAGCTCCAGCTGCCCGGCTTACTCTGCCAGCTGAGCTCCGTGGGAGCCTCCGGAGACAGCGGACACCCGCGCTCCTTGCCCCTCGTGTCGCGGGGAGCCCTGTGCCCCGGGGCTCCGGGCGGGACCAGGGCTCTGCCCGCCACATCTGAGCATCCTCCGGACGCTTCTCCTGCGGCTGGCAGAGATTTGCCATCTCTTGTCCCCTCGTCGAATGTCCTCTGGCTGGGTTTTCACACCTCCGCTCCCATTCTATTCTCCTGTTCTGGCCAACGAAACTTGGGTGTTCCCCACCCAGGGAGGTGGAGGATGCCCTCCGGTGCCCTCCTTGTTTAGCTTGAGAGAGTTAGTTTTCCCCGAAAATTTCCCTGTGCCTTTCTGCACAACAGCCCCGTCCCGCTGGAGCACGGAGCTCACCTGCCCCGGAGAGGCCCCAATGTCCAGGGCAGGTGGGCTCCAGCCCCCGCCGCGTTCGCCGCATCCACCGCCCCGGGGCCGCGGGATGGAAGCGACAGCGGCAGGGAGCGAAGGCAGGGCCGGAGGACCATGGGTGGCAGTGCCAGCTCCAGCTCCCAGCGTCACCAGCTGCCGAGCGGGCAGGTACCTGAGCGGGACAGGGGCTCTCATCCCCCTTACCGCCGCTGGCAGCCTTTGCTCAGGGCTGGGAGGCCGGCAGAGCTGCCCAGCTGCAGCCCGGCTCGCCCCCAGCGCGGCTGCTCTCCTTCGCTGGCAGCGGGACACGCGTTTGTGTCGGGACACGCGTGTGTGTCGGGATAAGTCGGGATAAGCGTGTGGAGACCTGGCCACCTGAGGGAGGAAATGGCTCACAAGGGCTGGAGAGAAACTAGTGTAAGCAAAGTGACCCCGCCGTCTGGCGGTGTTTAGAGTGGAGGTTTTTGCCTACTTTGCGTGTCATGAAGTGCTCTCAGCCCTGATCCAGATGAGGGCTCGCAGGGCTGCCTTGTGCTGGGGAGCAGGTGAGCTCTGAATTCTTCTTAGTTAAAAGAAGAGCTGGTAAAGCTGTGTATCTGTCTATCCCAGCCTCGCTTTCCAGGGAAATGGAGCTGTTCTACACTTGAAAAGTTATCAGCCATCTCCTGATAATGATAAATGCACCCTAGGCTGAACAGAAGTAAAATTATTTCCTCGAATGTTTTGTCTATGTCCATTCTGCTTTCCTGGATATAGATTCTCTCTCTATTCAAGCACCCAGAGCTTCCTAGCTCACACAGCATGTTACTGATAGCTGCAGCAGAACTGGCAACTGACTTCTTCCCTTACTGTCCCGTTTCAGTGTGGGTAAGGAGAAGCAGATCCCTGTGGGGTGAAGTAGGTACTGTCCAGCACTGACAAGTGGCCACTCTGTGAGAGCACTTTGTGTGTGCTTTGTCTCTCGAGAATCTGTCAGCAAAAGTAGGTGTTCAGAGCCAACAAAACTCAGCTTGAGTTGGAAAACAATAAAAGTGTTTATTCTTTAAAAAATTCCAAAACACAAACTTCTAGTCGAGGCCAAAAGAGATGTTCTCTTTGTTAGGTTGAAGGAATGACACTGAGATGTCAAACTAGCATCTGGCTGTTCTGTAACTTTTGACTCTATTCGTCCATTTGAACCAAATGTGCCAGACACATAAAGGTCTCAAAAGTTTTGTGTGCCATCAGTTACATGTTTTCATGTAATAAGACAATTAACAGATTATACTCATTTGCTGTACTGAGAGAATGGCTTCAGCTTGTACTCAGTGTTTGGTAGCTGTCAGAGAACTCACAGTACAAATTGGTTGATAAATTAATCAGCTTAATCAGCTCTAATGTACATGCAACAATATGTTTCAAATTTTGAAAAGAGATAAGGAATGTGTTTGTCAGCCTCAGAGTCTAAGACCAGAAATATTCTCATCCTGTATTACAGCCTCCAAATGGCCCCTTCCCTCTCCTACTTTTGGAAGATAGGGGTTCATGTGTTGGAAGGTGCCACATGCACCAGTTTCCCCTGGTTTTGAGCCTTGTTGGTGGCAGGGTGAGACAGGAGTCGCTGATTCCCTGTTGGGGATACAGAGAGCTGACCCAGTGGGTGCCACTCCCTGGTGCTCAGTGCCTGCTCCTGGTCACCAAGAGAGGCACACAGAAATAAATACCAAAGGGATTCTTGTGCTGGGAGGGGGTTTGCCATTTCACTGCACACTGGGGTAACAGCACACTGATACTGGGGCTTCCCCTCTTCCTTGCGATGCTGGATGCCTTTTCTTGGGCAGGAAACAACTTTGGGACTTATGTTTAGTCATGGTTAAACTGTCTCTGCTCCTTATTTATGGTATGGGATTGAAAATCCCACCTCGAGTCTGAGGGAGGACAGGATTGCATTATCAAATCGTGGATCTGAACAGTTCATCTCTTGCACGTTGTTCAAATTAAAGCTGGCTTAATCTTGGTTGGGACAAGCTTGCAGAGACACTATCACTGCAGCTGTGCTGAGAGTTGTGTGACTGTATTCAGTTTCAGCCTCCCTTTCCAATACAAATCCACAGATGTGTAGCTGTCAGGCACAGATTTGCAGTGGGAAATCCTAGTGCCTTCCTCACTCCTTTCCACATCAGCACTAGGCAGTCTAATCCATGTTCTCAGGGCTCACTCTGTAGCCCTCCTTCCTCCTCCCGCTGCAGATTATTAACTCACAGGTGGAACCACTGTTTGCAGTGGCAGAAAACTGATAGAAAAGTCCTTCAATTTTTTCGATTTATAGTCCAGATTCTAGTGTGATTCAGGAGAAGCTCAATTCCCACTGATTAATTCCTCTCCTGTGGGATCTGATTCTGCATCATCTCTTGGTAGAGACACCGGGAAAAAACGGGCTTCCCTCCTCAGGACGGGCCAATTTCACCCTGTTGTCTGTGGTTATATGTGCTAGAGACAGGCATCGATTAATGTGCAATATATGTAGATCTGCTGCTCTTGAAAATCTGTCTCTTTTCTCACCTTCCTAGACAGCTGTTTAGGAATTCCAAGCCCTTCCCGGCTCTTTATCTCCCCATTTGCCTTGAAAGGGAACTGGGTTTGGATGCTGCAAGTATTCCTGTGTGGCTAAACAAACAGGATGGCAGATTGCCATATGGGATCTCAAGCCCTGCCAGATCTAGATCAGACCATCTACAGCATGAGCCAGATTTTAAGGGTTAGGTGTATGAATTTAATTCCTCCCAGAGGCTGAAAACTGCTCCACTGGGAAATTCTTTAAAATCTTAGGCATCTCTTAGACTTCCAGGCAAGGCTTCTGTGCTGGTATTTTATTGTGCATGGAGCTTTCAAACTTACAGTCCGGGTGAGGACCTTAGGTGCACTTGATTGCCAGTAATTAAGTTGTCCCATAGAGAAATGGGGCAGCGGAGGCTGTGGTGGGCTGTGGTGGGCGCCAGGCTGCTTTTCTCAGTCCTGCATGCATATACATGGCAGATTTTTAGCCTAAGGGGTTAAACTTAATTCTGTCCCTAGTGATGCCAGTGACAGAACTCTCATCCAGCCTGGTGGCCCCTGAATAGTGTATTGAGGACGCCCTGGCTGATAACTGTCTCCTCGATTGCCCTACTTAGCCGCAGGCTAGAAATTCAAAAGACTCCGAGTGTCTTATGTGAAACCGCTGGGATCTCGCATCTCTGAGCCGCACCTCCCTGTGCGGGTACCTCTGCTGGGAGCCAGGGCTGGCTGCGGTGGGGAAAGGTCAGCTGGGCCCTGGGAACGCCTGCAAAACCAGAGCTTTTCTGTAGCCACTAAGTCCCCTGTGAAAAGCCTGCACCTGAGCCAAGCCGGTTTGATCTGAACTCCCTGGAATTCATCTCTTTCTTCTGGCTACCTTCTAATTTGGCCTCGGGTCAAAATCGTTTGAGTAGAACAACGCGGAGGACAAGTGCCCCCTCTTTTGGCCTTTATCTTGTCTAATTACGGGGAGCATCCCTGTACAATGGCGCGGCTCCTTATTCTAATCTCTTCCATTTTACTTATCTCCATCTTCTCTCCCTCTTCTTTTGTCTTCCAAAATCCCACGCACCCTTGTTGAAAGGCCGGGCGCTGAGCTGAATGGATTGTGCTCTGAGCTGTGGGCAAATGCTCTCCCAAAGCTACAGCTTTTCTGCTGCTTTTTTTCCCCACCTGCACATTTGGAGGGCGTTTCTTTCTGTGAGCCCTGAGCGGTGTATCTGTGCTGCTGACCGGGAGCCAGAGGTAACGTGTCCTTTCCCTCCCTTTGTCCCGCAGAGAAACCCGTCAGCCTGACTTACCGATGTCCCTGTCGATTCTACGAGAGCAACGTGGCAAGAGCCAATATTAAGCACCTCAAAATCCTCTCCACACCCAACTGCTCGCTTCAGATTGTGTAAGTCTCTCGCTCTTTTCAGCTGGGTGCAAATCTGGGGTGTCAAAAAGAAGGGTCACAGAGCTGGTGCCTGCTCTGGTGGTTGAATTTCAGTCTGCTTCATGCCATGATTCCCAATTCATCTCTTCAACCCTGTGTCAGAGACATTGGACCCTGCTTTACCCCACGTAAAGGAGCCCAGCTGTTGTTTCCCAGCTGTGTTCTCTGATCTCCCTATCACCGTGTGATCCCGTGTGCTGTTCCCCCCGTGGGTATGTGAGCAGGAATGTCACACAGGCTGTGCACTGCCTTGGAGGTGGAGCTTCACACCTTGGGTCAAACCTTCAGAGTGATCTGAGTCTTCTAATGGGTCACTTCTCCATGGAGTGGAGCTAAACAAGCGAAAGGAATTCCTGTGTTTCATGTATCCTCTGCAGGAGGTACAGACCCTGGAAATGTGATGGCTTAATCTAGGGACGCTTGCCAGGCAGGGACTGACTCAGTAAATTGCAGCAGAGCAGAAAAATGGGCTCCCAATGGAAAATAACCTCTTTTTTTTTTGCTGGAAAAGCAATCCTTGTTTTCAGAAAACATTGGGATTTTGTTTGTAGATCTTTGTAGATTTGTGTGTGTATGTTTTAGGAAGGTCTTTTTTGTTCACTTCTTCATGGGTGACCCCCTCTCAAAATTCAAAACCTTCTGAAGAAAAAAAAACCCTAGCATTCTTCTTTTCATTGCAAGGGAACCTTACTACTCTCAACTTCTGTTAACCCCTCTATAAAAGGGTGTCAGGGACTAGGTTTGGTTTCTGAGCAGTGATCCCATTACTGGTTCTGTCTTTGACCCATATGTTGATCCCTTTCTCTTGTAACTCAAATGCTGTAAAAATCAATTTTTGTCATTCAAAACCTTTGCACTCAGAAAACTGATGTGGTTTCATGAGATTGCTCAGGAATGTATGTGAGCGTGTATCCATTCATGAACCAATTTTTATTAGTATGGGGTTTTTTCTGTCTTGAAGCACTCTGTGTATATCACACACATTTTATCATGTGCTTCTGCCTTAGGATTTGGTGGAGGACAGTGAGAAAAATGTAAGCCTCAGCTGAGAAATAATTTCCTTTCAGAAAAATGGCAAAACCAGCTGTGACTAACTCCGATCTCTACCTATAAACAATTTTGGCAGCAAGCATGCACTAGTGCATGGATTTCTGCTCTGGGACTGTCAGTGATGTCATAAGAATCCCAGTGCTAAGGCTTTTTAAATGATTTGGAATTATCTGGAGTAGTTTCAAGAAAATGTCAGCATTTAAGACAGGATAGAGTATATATTTATCTCTTAACATAGGATTATAGTAATTAGAGATAAATAAGAGCATGAAATGCAAAACCAGAAACATCTCACATTCTTGCCTATTCCTGACCCAAATGTGTTTGTGTGGGGTACACACAGAAAATATGAACGTATAGTTGACCCTGTTTTTGTTACTTTGACAAGTAAGGTACTTGATACATCCCTCCAAATACCCTTGAAACATGACTTTAAACTAGGCCTTCATCAAAACAGGAGATGAAATAAGTCAAAACCAACACATGAATTTCTCATCTTGATTAATTTAAAGCACTAAACAACAAAGGTGTAAATAAATTAAAAGTCAATTTTCAGGAATAGAGAACTAAGTGAAATATACAGTTGCTAGGAGATATTTTGTGGGTTTATCGTTTGAGATTTTTTTGTTTTGGTTTAGGTTTTTAGTTTTGTTTTTGTTTGCTTGTTTGTTTGTTTTTTCACAAGTATATTTTCCTTTCTGGTTAAGGGGAGTTGTACTTGAACAAAAAGCCTAAGATCAGGCTTTTGTCTTTCACTCTATTGGAAATTATCTCTCCAAATCCAGTGAACTCCTCTGCCAATGTCTACTTCTACAAATTTCCTTGCTACACTAATTTCCTTGCTTTTCAGTACAGGGAAATGAGCATTTTTAGCAAGTAGACACCTAAACCAGTCCAGGTTAAACACTCCTTACAATTTCCTGTGTCTCTTCCTTGCACATGGAACAGGGACTCACAGGCTTAGAAATGAGTGTCTGAAGAAATGAGTGTGTCAGTATGAGGTGAGAGGAATTGTGTTGAATGTGGCTGGAGACTGGTTACGTGTGCTTCTGCTTCTGTACCCTGTGAGGTCAGCATAAGAATTCCCAGGCATTGCTAACATCAGCAAATCCATTCTTACACACTGTTGGTATCACTTAACTGGAAATGCTCCAGCTTGGCACTGCTGTAAGGGAAATATGAATCAGGCCCATTCATCTCTGTGCTGGAGCAGGGTTTGCAAGACTGATCCTTGATGTGTTTATGTTACAACTGTGTCGTTGCATAACTTCAGACCAAGGAGCCTTTTTGACCTTTTATTTCTTACACCATCGTTTTATATTCTGCAGATTTCATTTTATAAAGGGAGGAACATTATGGCTTCCATCCAGCAAATGTTTAAACAAGTACTGAACTTATTCATATGGGCACTTCCATAAAGTTGCTGTTCTCTGCACTTTCCCAAGGCAGGCAGGCTGTTAAGAGGGAAATTTTGGAGCAGCTGGGGCAGAGACAGGGTGCTGCAGGGAATGTGGGAGATAACAGCTCTTTCGAGGTACTGAGATCCCTGGAGGGTGAAACCTGTTTCTGAATGAAAGATTCAGAGACCCCAAGTGTCAAACGCACAGAGAAATCAAATTAGCTAAAAAATTTGTTGTGGGAAGCACAGCTTGGACCTCCAGGAGAAACCCCTCAGGAGGTTTCTGCCTTGGGTTCCAATGCTGAGTGAATGCATGAGGAGAAACTTGCCTCTGGCACTATGGCACTTTCAGTTATCTTCCTCCCTGCAACCTGTTAATTCAGTCTTGAATAAAACAAAAAGCTAACAAGTGACCACACCCTTTCTTTCAGAACATCCATGAGGTGTCTGTCCTCAAAAGATGTGAAACTTCAGTTTTTGGTTGAATTTAAAAGCTGTTCTTAATCAATTACTTGCAAAAATTACCTAAATTTACCATGTCATTATTTCCAAATGAAATTTTTCTGTTGATGACAGTGAGCTCTCGTTCACGGTCCAGGTGTGAATTGGAAGTCTTAGATTCAAATTTTGTGTCTGTTCCGTTCTCACATGATTCCCAGTAGAGACCACCAGAGCCTGTCAAAGGAGACAGATGGTTTCCAAGCCAGGGATATTTATAATAGGTGAGGGAGGTCAAGGATGGAAGAAATAACTCATCCTCTTCATGGGTTAACCAAAAGCAGCACTGGCACCCAAGGAAAATAAGGCACAGTGTGGTGGGGTTGGTATGGGCTAAGGAATTTGCACACCAGACTCACTCTGACTTTTCTCCTTTGGCAGTGCAAGGCTCAAGAGCAACAGCAAGCAAGTGTGCATTGATCCCAAGTTAAAGTGGATCCAGGAATATCTGGAGAAAGCTTTAAACAAGTAAGGCAAGAGACAAATGGACTTAACAGCTAACATCCTGAATTATTAAAGGGTAGAACATTAAGGGCTGGCTTTTACCATGTGGACAAAGTACTTGTGGAATCAGATATTGTTTCAAAGAAGGGTTTGGAGTTGACATATTTTGTATTAAAACAACAGTTTCTAATATATCTTAGATGTTTAACTATGAATTTTGCCAGGGTTTGAGGCAAAAATTGTGCTAATGAGTATGTTCTGGGGTCCCAAACTCATCCTCTTCAAAAAAAGAAAAAAAAAAGCTGTTCTCCCAAGGAAAATTCTTCCTTTAATGTCCTTTCTTCCCCAGCCAAACTACAATTTCTTCAGAATCTATATCATTCCGGTGTCTTTGGAGCCCCTTCTCCATGTTACACTGGGTGTCTGCTTGCACAGGCAGCTGAGGCCTTGGGATTCTTGGTGCTAAAAATTGTTTCTCTGCTGCCCACTATGGAATGCTGTTAATGCTGGCCAAGGCACGATGGGCTACCATGAATAAGTCTTTCCCACAATACCAGGGGAAAGCCAGCCAAACTTGGAAAATTCAGACTTTTTAAATCTGTTTTTATTCCTCTTGAAAATGGTTGATCATGCCTACTTTGAGGTGGACTGAGCCCATCTCTGTTCAATGTTATGTTGACAAGAGCAGCACTGAGCACATTTTTGTGCTGAGCTGCAGGGGAGGGCTCCAGCCCTCCAGCACTGAGAGAAGGTACATACCAAAGGATGGTACAAAGCATTCCCTTGCTTGCCCTGAGCCCTGGGCTGAGGCTGATCCAGCAGCAACATTTTGGCCAGCTAGCCTACCTGTGCACTCAGTATCCCTGCCATCCTTGCCATCACATTCCCACCCCACCGTAACTGCGCTGTAACCCTGCTGAACCTTGTCCCTCCTGCATCTCTAGGGTGAAGGCAGGGCTGGAATCCAATCATTTGCCAAAACAATGTATTATTGGGGAAGGTGTGACCCCAGGGCAGATGAGGGGCACAGGTACCTGAATCCACTGTTTCCTTTGTAAATGCCTCTGCCAAGCAAGGGTCAGAGTTAAAAAAAGAAAAAAAATTATTTGTCCCCCTGTGTTTTTACAATAAGCAAGGGGGAAAATGCCACCAGAAGCAGAGAGATTCCTCCATGTGTCCCTTTTTGGGACTGCACTGGGGCCAAGAGTGAGGAAGAAGAAGGAAGGAAGCCAGCTAACTAAGTCAATGTGATTCCAGCCCTGACAGCTCCTCCCATCTCATCTGATGCTCAGTGCCTTCTTTGCTGCCAGCACTCAGCCCTTTTGTCCTCTGGACAAATTCTCTGCAGTGGTAATCCAGGTTAATGCTGCCAGAATGGCTTTGGGTTTAGGCACAACTGAACCTAAGAGCAGGATGTAGCCCATGCTGAATATCCTAGGGACCTGAGCCAGTTGGTTTTACAAACTGGGAAAACCTGCTCAAGTTTCTGTTTGCTATCATCCCCAACCTGAGACTTAGGAGGCGTTTTAGAAATCTGCAAGGTTGGGCAAATATGATTATGTGCCTGTCTGACTTAGGGGAGCAGCTCAGCTGGAACCTGTTCTGCTCTCACTCCCACTAGTGAAGATCTGAGACCAGCTCTGCTGAAACCAGTGAGTCTGCCTGATCTCCAGCCAGATTCTGGGTTCTGTTTACCAAATGCTAATACAGAAGCGATTCTGCCAATTTGGTGGATTCATCCTGGTTTACATTGAGCAACAAGAGAGAATTTGGTCCCAGCTTTGTGAAATAAGATGACAGAAAGCATATATCTCCATCACCTAATCCTGTAATCATGGCATTGTGTTCATTTTCCAACTAGTAATGATAGCACCAGTGGCATTTTCATGCTTCACAGACAGTCAGGGCTCTGTCTGTAGCATTTTCACAAGGCATGTTTTTGATATATTTTAGTGCACAGCTTTGACTTCTTCAATGAAATGTACTTTGGAATATATTTATAGCGCATCAAACAATTCATATATTTGAATTGGAGCCATATGAATGTTGGTAGTTTAAAACACCGATATCCCTCTAAACTACTAACAGCTTGTAAAATGAATCTATATAGATCTATAAATGTTAATGTAGCTATCAGTTTCAATCAGCCATATATTATATTTTTTCACTTGTACCGAAATTGTATGAAATGTGACATTACCCTATATGCACTAGCAATAAAATGGCTAATTGTTTCATGTTATGAAAACCCAATTGTACATGGGAATTTATTTTTCTGGAATAAAATCAATACGTTTTGTAGAAAGGGCTCTTGTAATTGCTTAAGTAGAATCCAAACCATGAAGACATCTTAATCTATACCAGTACTTCAATATGAAAATATCTTCAGTGTTATAATCTGCAGCTAAGGGCAAGGAAAAATTCTTTAAATAGTAGTCCAATACAGTTTAATATGAAACCAGAAATGGTTTTTACTAGGAATTATTTTGCTCACTAATTCTGCTTAGCATTTATTATTGCTTTATATTCATCACATCTCCATGTAATATACACATGAGACATCAGTCAAACACATTCAGGCTGTCAGGAATCCAAATTCCTTAACTGGCTTTAAAAATCATTGTGCAGCTGCTGTGTCCAACATCATCCAACATTCATCCACTGTCATGTTAATACAGTCCCACTTCAGAGCTCCCCTTGCTTCAAGATGCCGGCGTCCATTAAGCTCAGTGGCCACTGCAGGAGAGATTTGATGGATCTGGAGAAGATAACAAAGCCACATGGGAAAAATCTTTCCATTAAGCCAGCTGGGAGAAAGGAAAAGAAACTCTGAATGTGTAGGGGCTGGCTGTGTTGGCAGCCAAGCCCTGCTGCTGCCTTCCAAACCCTGGTGTGGCAGCTCCTCCTAATTTCTAACCTAATTTGTAAGTAACAGTTGAAATACAAGGTGCCCAACCTCCCAGTATTCCACCAAGCATGTGCTGGGTCAAGGCCCCACACAAAGGGGGACAATGTGGGTGATTATTTTTACAGCCTTGTTTTAAGGCACCAAGTGCCTTAAACCCCCTCAGAGTAGCCACTGGTTCTTGCTGATGTCAGCAGGAATACTGGGTGGGAAGCCAGAAATCTAGCTCCCCCTCTGCTTCCTCTGTACCTCAGGGGGAACTTTTTGGATGGTGAGGCTCCTGACTGAGAAGTTCTGGAAGGCATTTGAGGAGGCTTTGGCATTTTGGGTAAAGGGGTTGTTCTGGCCTCAGGGTTTGCAAATGTTCTTCCACCAGGACACTTCTACTTGTCCGGCGTTTCTCTCAGACAGAGGTTATATGAAAGGGGATTTGACATTGCACCCTGCCAGCAAGATATGAAGGGACCATAAGATAAATGTGAATGAGGCCTTTGTATATGGATAATTTATGGCAGTCTTTTTTTTGTATTTTTCTTTTAATTTAGACCACGTCATCGCACTCATAAAAAAAAGCAACAGAAGAAACGGGGCCCACTCTGCCCTTCCCGTGCAACACCACTAAAGTCTCCAGGGAGAAAGAATGGTAGGAGGCATTAGTTTCTGAGCTGGGACATCTCAGGTTGAAGTCCCTGCTCTTCCACTGACCATGTTATGGGGCCTTGGGCAAATATATTAGCCTATCCAGACCTCCATTTCCCCCATATTTGTTGAGGATAACACATCTCCCCTTCCAGCAAAAGAGTATTATAGAGATGAAACTCTCAAAACAGGTGGAAAGCTTAGCTACAACAGATGTGGGATGATTTTCCCATTTTATAAATGGGAATTATAAAATTTGCAAAATTTTACAAATGGGAAAATGGACACACAAAGAGACCAAAATAAACTTGAAGCAAAGACAAAGTCAAAAACAGGGTGAAGGTTTGGGAGCCCTATTTACTTCAGTTCCAATATCAAACTGACAGAGTTAAACCATAACAGCTGTGAATTTGCCACTGGTGTTTTTTAATGAGAAATGCAGCACCACGTGGTGACAGCATGATGTGGTGCATGGGTCACTGGTTGATGCCCTTCCTATGGGAGATGCTAGGCAAGTCCCAGAGAATGGTGTTATACATGCCAGTGCTCTGGATGTCCCAGGTTTTTGTTCCTCACAGGGGTGGTTTGTCCTGCATTTCTGCACCAAGAGATATAGGGTTACTGCTGTGGGATGTTGGAAAAGATATCTCTCGAGGAGAAGTTTTCCTCATGGTTTAGTCATTGTCTTTGTGCCTAGATGAGTTTTCTGAGACTGCCTTTACTGGGAGTCACAGTCTCTAGCTGTGGTCACAGAGCCCTAGCTGTCCAGCAGGCATTGCAAGAGGTGTTTGTCAAGACGAGCTGAGACATCAGTATTTGAATAGCTGGTGTTTACCCTCTGACACTTGTCACTCAGTGACCTCATCTAGGTTGCAAAAGGCCACCAGCCTGGAGCAGGAATAGGAGTCACTTCAGACAAAAGCTGGAGGCCACCAGCACAAAGTGGCTCCTTGTTCTGGGTGAACCACACACACGAGACACTTGCACTTTGCTGTGATGCCTAACCCACACTCTCCTGGGTACCATGCTCACACTGAGCATGGCACACTCCATTTGTCTGCACCCCACCTGGGCTCAGCCCTCCAGGCCTCACAGGCTCACTGTGCAGTGCCTGCCTGCCTGTCACCTCACCTCACTGGGCAGCTGCTCACCACAAGCTCTGGTGTGGTCCCCAGCTGCTCACACCAGGTGAGGTCCCAGGGCAGGGAGGCTCAGGGGTGGCTCCTGGCTGGCAGAACACTGGCTGCCTCTACTCTCCAGCCACCCCACGGTGGAAGCCAAACAAGAGCAGAGCATGGGCTGCCCTCTACGTTCCTCCATCCTCACGGAGACCTGGCACTCTCTGGAGCTGCAGTCCATGATCTCCATCAGAGTTGTGGGATAGGAGCAAATAGAGGAGGCATTCCCAGTGCCACTTGCTCTGCTACTGGGGCTGCTCACAAATGATTAATCTCTCCTTTCCCTGCTGTATTTTTTGCCGAGTTTCTTTGCCCACCAACAATTCTTTGCTCTGGCTTTCAAGTCCAGAATAAGCTTTCTAGCCAGCCTTCCTACTGTATTAGTTCTGAACACCTTACTAACTGTGATGAGCACAACCTGCCCAAAATAACACCCATTGCTGGGTTTGCCCTGCTGGGTCCCAGTAGCTCCTTGTGGAGAACTCCCAAAATGTCCAGCAATTACTGGTTGAGGGGCTGCCTTTGGGTTAGTCCAGACACAGATTTGCTGTTTGACTAGGCCTGATAGCAAAGCTTTTGCAACTGAAATAAACCTTAATAGTGTTTCACTTTCTTCTTCATCAACAGGAGGTTCAAGATGTAAGAGGCAAGCATTGTAAGCCGTCTACAGGATTTCTTACTGTAGGACCCAGAGAGCAGATAACCAGTATTAGGGAATGAATACATTTCACTGCTAACATGCAGCACAAAAGCAACGCTTCACGCATTTCCAAAGGTTTTTCTCTTGGTTCTTTTTGGTGGGGTTTTTTTTTGTTTGGTGTTTTTTTTTTCCCCTTGCACAAATTGGCTTGCTTTCATAGTGCTATTTTTATATAGTAAGATGTAACTATTTGAGAAAAATATGAATTTATACAGGTTGGTTTATTACCTAGCACTGGGGGCAGATACCAATTTAAACTAACCCTGTTATTATATGATATTTTATTTCCTTTGTTGTGTAGAGGTCCTGCTTTATTTAACTTTCTTTTGGTTCATGCAAGTCTCCTGGAGTTTTAAACCTAGAAGGACATGAACTGTACAGTGCAATGATGTTGTGTAAGTGGTGGTGGAACTCCTTGCCTCCAGAAGTCATAGAGGCCAAGAGCATAGGAAGGCTCAAAAGCATCAGACTGATGACAATAGACAACATTACCCTGAGTGGCATTTACAGATATTTTGGGTGAGTGATTAAACTCACAGCTACAGGGCTAAAGCCCTTCTCTGAAGATCAGAACCCTTGCTGACAGCTGTGAGCAGCTGGATCAATGCACATCTGGTATTGCAAGGTGCTAATACTTGGTTTGTAGTAGTTCTGTGTGTTAGGAGCCACAACACAGTTCTGATGTCATCTGGCATTTCCTATGTTCCTGTGTTTTTGATGATAAATTTAGCAAAAAAAGGAATAGGTTATTAAAGCTCTGACCACAGGATCATGTTGCAAGCTGCTGGAGGAGTCAGATACGCTGCCATGCACCAGGGATCTCCCAGCCATCCACAGGAGGTGACTTCAGCTTGCCTGTCTGGCTTTGCACTGAAGTAGGCTGAGATTTATTCACCCTTCACCAACCATGAACAGTTGTACCTGCCTGAGGGCAGGCACATCCCTGATTGCTCTGGAGATACCCAGAAGAGGATTTCTGGCCACACCTTGGAGAAGAGATGCCTGGGGCAGGAGGGGGTGTGTGCAGTTTGTGGAAGGAGAGGTGTTTCACAGGTGTGGAAACGAAGGCCAGCACTCCCAGTTCACCATCTATCAGGAGTTTGCTGGTGAGCAGGATAGCCTCTGGAATTCCCTTTGCAAAGCACAGCCTGGGACAGGCACCACTCTTTGCTCCGATCCCCTAAGCCAGAAGTTTCTTCCTCCTTATTCCTTCCTGTATACACAATATCTGCTACATGGTATGGAAAGACATCTGCAGCACTGCAATAATCATGTCATGCTGTGCACTGAGATCTGGGGGAAGCACATTTGTGCAGCACAATGCTTGTGTTTGTGTGTATCTGTGTTTGTATTGTCAACAAAAAAATGTTGTAAGAGTGTCTTTTTTAAGCTGGTTGATTCAAAAGAAATCTTCCCTCTTCCCTGCAGCCTGTGTCAGGAGCACTGAGAGGAGTGTTTCACACTCCCTTTTGTGGTAGGCAACTTTAGTGCCACAGAGGCACTTTGGCTATCCAGGGACTCCATTATTTCCATGTGGATTCAGGTAAAAATCTTGTCTTTTCCTTTCTGCAAAACAGGGCTATTGCAGAGAGGCCTTCAGCTGGGAACACCTCACCTCATTTGCTTTAAAGCAGAAACAAACTGCTGTGCCTAAAATATTTGTGTTTGTGATTTTGACATTCCTTTTGTTATCATTACCAGCCTGGTGCTTTAAGTACATTGTGTCTGTGTTTTGAAAGGTCTGGTACCACTGTACTTGATGAGATTGAAGTTTTGATTTAATATTAGTAGGATCAGATCCTCTCCTGGAAAGAGAAAGAAAGAAAGAAATTAATTTTATTCAGGGTTTTTTCTATGTTCTCTGGACTGTATTTGATATCCTAGGCTCCATTCCCTGTCCCACACATGCACCTGCATTTGCCAGTGGTTTGCTAGAGGTGGACATGTGAGTGCCCAAGCCAAGAATAACTGCAGAAAAAGTCACCCAGGAAAGTTCATCCTTCACACATAACTCCTGTCAAAGGACAGCCTGAGTTCTGATTGATCCCCATTGCAGTAAATGGAGAATTAAATAATCCTCTGATTTTGATTCAGCAGCATGCCCTGCTCATTATGCTCATAGGGATTATGACCATTTTGTTTCCAGGGGGAACTGTGGCATTCTGGTGAGAAGGTGGGTGAGAAGGTGGGCTAGGCAGATGGGACTGCACAGCCTAGCCAGGGCTCTGCTGCAGTCCTGATTACAGGGAGTGCATCTGGGGTCAGCACCAGCAGGGACAGGTCCCTGGGAACGTGCCAACCCCATGTTACTGCTGTGACAGGAGCAGAGATGGGCAGTGCTGGAGCACCCCAGCCAAACCCAGGCTCTGGATGGTATAGCCAGGTGAGGGAGGTACTGCAGGAAAGGGGGGCTCCTGTCAGCTTCTCCTCTAGGGGCTGCAGGGCTAGACCCTGCTAAAGCAAGGGCATTTGTTCCTGGCAGAAAGGCATGAGGAGGAAATGCACTCCATGGAGGGCAAGGGACCTTGTGCAGCCAGGTGTTTGTGTGGTGCTTTGGGGCTGTCTGCCCCAGCCTCACACACAGAGACTGGGCCCTGACACCCCTGTGCTGCTGATGCTTCACTGCTCCTGTGTCTGAGCCCACTCAGGGCACGGGGCTGCTCTCAGGGGCCAGCAGCTGACCCTCCTCACCCGGGTAAGGTTGAGCACAGCATGAATGCAGGGCCAACACAGACCTGGCCAGAGACTTAAGTGAGAACCTTTCAAAAGCTTTCTCTTGCTTTGGACCAAATTCAGCCTTGAGTGGGAAGCTTTGCTGTTAGCCTGACTCTGTTTGCATCATGCACTGAGGAGAGCAGCCTTGCTCTTGGCACCAGAGGGATCAATCTCAGGGCTGCCCCAGTGCACCACATGTTTGTCCTGTCCATGCCATGACCAGAGCAGGCTGAGGAGCAGCACTGGCAGCATCTCACTTGGGGAGAGCACTTGGTGTTCCCTCCTGCCTTAAACTGTTGACCAAAGACAGGGTCAGGGAAAGGAAGCCTGAGGAGATGGGAGTGAGGTAGGGACCACATGTGAACAGGAGGGACAAGAGGTAACACTGAACCATGCTGAAAAAGCAGCTTCCATGAATGTGAAATCATCATGTGGGTATTTTCAATGTGCAGCTGTCAAATCCCAGTTTTAAGAGTAGATGGTATTTATTGCTGTGTCAATTTTTTATTTATACTAGCTTTATACTTTTATATATGTATATCTTATCTGAATTCTGCCTGAGGAAGAATGAAATGAAGGGTGACTTTGATGTGTTTTTGATTAGGGTGTTTGAGCAAAGGTGACTGTTTATTTTGCAATGAAAGCTTTTTTCAAAGTTAAATATACATATTTTGTCAAAAATGCAGTTCCTATAGGAGTTTTTGTTGCCAATTTCCCTTTATTAGCCTCTAAAAGGTCCTTTTCTCTGGCAACTTGTTTTGATTGATGTGATTTATAGCAGTCAAGGTTTTTTGCAAACTCATCACCTAAAATTAGATTTTTTTTTCTTAACATCCCACCAAGAAAATTGCTGTCTGAAAACACAAAACTTTGGTTGCCACAGAGAAGAAAAGATGTACCATGACAAAAGGGCTGCATGAACCTCCCATCTTTCATTCCTTAAGAACTCTGTGTTGTCAGAATGTGGTAAATACTGTACTTTATATTTTTATTGAGTAAAAAGAAGTATCTTCCCAAATAATGTGAAAAGGGTTTTGTATTTGTGTTCCTGTAAGGCAGCTTTTATGGAGGAGTTATATTATGCTTTTGAAATTACTCCTTTCATAGAAAATTTTGAAAATAAACACTTTTATATTGTTGTAATTTCTCACATAAATGTGTATGCACTTAAAATTTTCTTAATAAAAATATATGTCTGAACAAAGTTTTTGCTTGATTCTATTTTTTTTTCTCCTCACAAATGAACAGCTACAATCTTCACTCAGAAAAACATTCAGATGTGGTTTGTGTCCAGTTTCAAGGATGCCTCCATATAGCCCCAATGCCCAGACTCTCTGCAGGGAACCTGAGGTGAAGGGCCCATGGGTCTGGCAGGGAGCAGCAGCTTAGCAGATTGAAATGTGCTTCAAAAGGAAACCCTTAACCATTTGCTCCCAGAACAGAAACCTAAACTTCCTTTTTTTTTTTTTTTAAATTTTTTACTCATTTCTTCCCGAAACTTGTCTCCTGCAGCAGTTTAGCTTCAATGGAACTGAGAGCTGTGAGCTGGTTTTGTTCCAGCAACAGAGATGCCATCATCATCATCTGTGCTGAGGGGAGAGATGAAAGTTTTTCTGAAAAGCATGAGGGGTAACAGGGAATGCATTGGACAAGAGCAGATGTGAACAACGCTGTCCTTGGGGCTGTTTTTCCCAGAGCACAGCAGGGTCAGTATTCAGTTTGGAGAGGGAAAAAAAATTAGAGGCTTGTAGAACTGACCTGAGGACCTGCAGGTACAATCCTAACTTGGATGATGTTGTAGGGAAAGTGCTGTGGGTTTCAAAACTATGGGTTGAAAACTGATCATTGTTCAGTGCATCTCCCCATCTGCAAGTTCTCATGGCAAGGGGAAGCTGTTTCCTGAGGTCACCCTGTCCCTCCACACTGCCCTGCTCACACCTACTGCAACACAGGTGAATCCCTGCACTGTGTACAGTTCTGGCTGCAGCAAAGCTCAGGGATAGCTTAGTATAACAGTGAAACAGTGCTTGAGCTGTTTCGAGCTTCTTGCTTCATAAATATTTCTTGTTCAAATTGATGCAAGGCAAAAGGCATGCAAAAAAGGGAAAGAGAAAACTCAGATGACTGATGACCCCCTTGAAAATCCATCAATTATTTACTAAGATATTTATGAAAAACTAGTAGGTAATTGTGAGTGCAGATGGTCAGTGAGAGATTCCCAGGCCACTGCAAAATGCTTTGGGA